CCAGAAACTTATCCAATAAAATATGTATATTATCTTATCAATTATCTATTGTCAGCATCTCAGCACCACACAATAATATATGTTGTTCACTAGTGTGTGGTGGTCATTTTGACCCAGGCTTCTTATGTGTTTGGTCTTGTTTACTCTTGGCCTGGAAGAGTGACTGAAATGAATCAGTTCTGTTCAACTTATTTATCTCCCTTCTCTTAGGACTATCAAGGTAACCTGTGCATATCCTCAAGGAGTAGGGACGGAGCAAGAACCAGCCTGCCCAATGGTGAATGGCCTTTTAAAGCCCTGCATATGCCATAGTGGCCAATATTCATTTGCTCTAGGCATGTCACATGACCATTTCCAGAGTCACAGAGATCAGGAACTACAGAGTTACATGGAGAACTCATGGATGGGTGTCATTAATACAAGAAATCTACTACGATAATCTAAGTTCACCTCAGTGCTTCTCATTCCGTCAGAGAGACATTTCCTAAGTTTTATTCTGATTATTAGCACTCCTAGTGGAAAAATCAAGAGGACATGGACAGTTGATCTGGTTAAACTAAACCATCAAGTATTTGGACATAGCTTTTGCTAACGATGGCAGTTGTGTTTTAATTGGTTTAGCAGTGTCTGGATTTGGTGGGGGAGAGCTGGTGTGGGTGGAGAAAATCACAAGGCCCAATGAACTATTCTGTCTTAGAGGTAATTGTTTCCATTAAGGAAAGATGCTTACGTATCCCAATTAAAAGGATTTTGTTTCATGGGAAATAGTTGATATCATCAAGATAATGACCAAAGAATTTTGTGTTTCTTTTAAAAAGGATAAAAAGGCAAAACAGTGAGAATTTCCTGTGTTCTTCCTCAGGGTTCATAGATGTCTGTCTCATCCCCTCCCCCCGCCCCAGCCTAAATAATGAATAGTGCATTCATTACCAGTGAACTGTGCACACTGGTGCCACCTTAGCTTATTAAAGTCACTTTGGGTGGGTTACTGCACTGACTGATTACTTTAATTGACTTTCAGACTGGCTAAAATTTGCCTGACTTAATGAGGCTCAATTCCTGTCAAGCCCCCTAGGCTGGATGGCTGCTGGCCCAGTCACTTTGTTGCTTTGATTTTTCATTTTTAATAATAATTATACCAAAAAGCTTTAGGAAATGTGGTAAAATATGTCAGTCATCATGAAGGGCCTGGAGCAGCTATGTCCATGTAAAGATTTAAGGCTTCAGATTTTTGCGCCTATTCAAAATTTGACCTTGTTTGGTCTGTCTTGAATCCTAGTAGCGAAAAACTTAATATTCTTATTCATAACATGTCTTTTTCTAAACATATGAGTGATAACATTAAATATCATCAGCCCAACCTAGAATTTGATGTTCATTTTTATTTCTGAAAGTCGAGGTGGCACCAGGTTCCTCAGACACAGGGTCAACTCTGCCTAAAGATTGGTATGCAGGAAACTTCCATTGTAGGGGAGGTTCAGCAAAGAAAGAAAGCATTTATCCTGCAGGAGAAATAAGGGTGATTAGTAGTAGCTGCCAAGAGCACTATGTTGAGGATTACGAAGTACTAATTTGAGCTGAGTGTAAAAGAATGCTATAAATGATTAGTTATGTCTGGTATGGAATAGAAAGCAAAAATTGTAGCATACTTACCATTCCTATCCTAGCTCATAATTTTTGCTCTTCTACAAAACCTGTCACCATTTAGTTATTTCTTGTCAAGATATTTATAGTTTTTTCCCACTTATTTCACCTTTCAACCATGCCTGAGTCCCTGAATTAGTGTTCTGCCACATCTATTTAAAAAATGCTTTAAAAAATGAGGTACTGGTATGCAGCCCAGTCTGGCCTCAAACTCAAAATTTTCCTGCTGGCGTCACCTGGGTAGTCGGGATTACAGGCACGCACCTCTGTGGCTAGCTAGAACTACTCTTTATTGGTCATTCTTTGTTTGGGGGTTAGTATCTGAAAATCGTCTTATGTGTTTGGGAAAACCCCTTGGTATGAGAGGCTAATATGGCCAAACCATTTACATTCACAACATACTTTCCCCCCAATACCTCCTTCACATGGCTTTGCCACTTGATGTAAACATGTGACCCAGAGTTTGGATGTGTATTTCACCTGAGATGATGACCAAATATATCTGCTTAAGACTGAATCAAAAGCTGTTGACTCAAAAGCACAGATATCCCACCTCTTCTACATTTTGTCCATTCTGAACTAACAGGGCAGTTTTTCTGTTGGTAACAGACTGGGAACTTGACAGAGATGATTGATGATTGGTCTAGGAAAATGTTCCTCAAAGCTTATCTTTCAGAGGAATCACCTCGACATCTTATCAAAATACAGATTACGATGTAAATACAGGTCTGGGGGGTATGGTGGGTTTGCATTTTTAATAAAGATTCAGGAAACAGCAGGGATGCAGATCTGTGACCAATACTTTAAATAAAAGGATCTGGAGAAGGAAAGGCAGGCTAAACCATGTTGGCAGGAAAGAAACAAATCCAGGACCTCTATTTGTTTCAAGTTTGATTCTTTTTGATGAGACCATAGTTGGGACTCCACTATGAGACAATGAAATCATATATAGAGAGAGATATCCTATATGATATATATGATATATAATTTGATAATCATATATGACAATGATAAATACAATAATTTGATTTATATGTGATAATTTGATATGAGTATTCATTGTAGAATGATTAAATAAGAAGATTAACATATCTATCACCTTACATATATAGCTTTTTGTGGTAAGAATATTAAAAGTCTAATGTTTTAGAAGTTTTGAAATACATAATGTATTATTAGAATATAGTGTTTAATATATGTTTAATATAAGAAAGTTTTCATTGACTGAAAATTTTAACATGCATTGTTTTCTTGTTTTTATTTTCTTCTTCAGAGACTACCTATAGCTGTATATTAAAATTTTTTTGCCCATCTTCAGGATTTATCATCTTTTTTCAAATCCTTCTTTTACTCTTTTTTTCAATTATTTTGGATTTAAAATTTTATTTTTCATTTCTCCTTTTATCTCTCTTAAGGTATTTGTTATGTTTATTCACTTTTGTTGTCCTTTTCAAATGATTACTCTTTTATTTATAATTCTTGAGTTTCAGGACCTACTTCTTAGTTCTTATTGTAATGTGTATTGTTCTTTCATATCTTATATCACTTTCTTAAAGTCCTTTCATTAATTAGAAATAGTTATAGTTAAATATGCTTTATAGGCAGATATTTCTGGCATTCTTTCAAAGTGTAGAGGGATGATATTATATTATTTATTCTCATTTTTTTTCTTCTTCTTAAAATGAAGTCTTACTAAGTTTCCCAGGCTGGTCTTGAATTCACAATCCTCCCATCTAGGTCTGTTGAGTAGCTCAGATGACAGACATCTATAACTGCATCCAGCTTCATATCTCTTATAGCTTTGTATGAAATTTTGCCTCACTGGTTTTAATCATTTTTGTGAGCATCATCTTTCTGAAAGTTTAGAAAGAGCCTTGATACAGGTTGCTTTCCTTCCACTTCTACTTTCTGTTGGAAAATACAGTGGATTGATTGATGAGCTACCCTGGCTCTGCTCATCTGCCTCCTACATGCCCTCACTTTATCTGTGCTTTTCCTTACTTTGGTCTCTTTTGTCCATGAGAAGCTCATTTTTTATTACATTCCCCATAGCATCCTCTCTAGTGGAGCCCTGCCCAGAAGGGAGCTGGACAGCATAGTATTAAGTGCAGCCTATCTTACCTGCTGTAGGTCTTCTCTAGGTTCTACCCTTTGCTGTCCTATGACTGCAGGCAAGTTCCTGATGTAAGTCCAAGCTTCTTCATTAAACAAACAGATTTAAGTTAAGATTTCTCCCATAGTGTGTAAAGATCTTAACTGAATGCTTGGCACTTAGTACATGCCCAGAAAATATAAGGTTACCAGTAATAAGCATTATGACCAGGCAGAAATTTAATTTTGTTAAATGAGTAGCTAAATAATATTAACTTTACACAGGCTTTTTATATTTTATATGGGGAAAAGTCAAATCCAATTCAGAGTTAAACCAAAGTAACTTCTACATACAAGCATTCGTGGCTTATAGAATGGAAATTAGCGCACAAAAGCAGCTGAAACTTCTTCACAGTGCTTCTTCTTCTGACCAATAACCATTCTGCACATTTCACTTTATCAAAGATTGAAAAACATACAGATTGTTTACCATCTTCTTTTTTGTTTATCTTTATTTGTATCCATATACATTCAGACAATTATGAACAAAGCAGTACCAAGGTGATTGTTCAGGGACAGTTTAATTTTACTTTCAAGCAGCTGCCATGATTCTTATTTTAAAAATCTGAGAATGATGTATAATTATGAATTGTTAGAAGATTTGGGTTTGTTTATTCATACCTACCTTGGAGAACAATTATAAGTTTTTCTTTCTGAAGCATAGCAATTATATCACCATAGCACCTGGGCAGAAACATTTTTGAGATTTTTAGGTGTTTCCTCTTCCCACCTCTATGAAGTACCAACACTGGATGAAGAAAGGGCAGGAGACTGCACTGTGCCATGATATCAGGGGTGGCTTCAAGGTTCAGCTCTTCATCCAAATTTCTCCCGACTAGCTGTCTGATGCCTAGATTTGTCTTTTTCTGAAGACCTTGACTCTTGAACTATTCTCATGACTCAAAATTCCTGAAGGGGGACACTTTGGTCACTGATTGATGAGAAAGGACTTTTGATAGGAGAAGACCTTTAATGTATTGAAATCCAGGCCAGATTCTAACTCTCAAGTTGAAATGTGAAGCATTTAATACACAGGTGAAATCCACCCCTCACCATTCTGTTTTTCTTTGATATGGTAAACACTGATAAAATTAAAAACAAAGAGTGGGAACATTATTTAAATGGTAATGAGGTGGGAAATAATTCAAAGAAAGTCACCAAGTCTATTCATTAATTGTGTGTCTTGTTTTCATTTTTAACTGTAGCTTCGGAAAGCAGTGATGGATCACATATCTGATTCTTTCTTGGAAACCAACGTCCCTTTGCTAGTTCTCATTGAGGCTGCTAAGAGTGGGAATGAAAAGGAAGTGAAAGAATATGCCCAGGTTTTCCGTGAACATGCCAACAAGCTGGTGGAGGTAAGTCAGGAGAGGCTGGAGGACTAAAATTTATCACCATATGATCCACATATAGATATGGAGTTTATCACTACATGTGGCTCTGGGAATTTCAATAGTCAGACCTTGTATGGCTTCATTGCAAAAATAAAGTCTTGGAACCTTTCTTTCCTTAACCTTCCTATTTCTCTACTCTTTTCAAAGGAAACCAGCTATTAGTAATCTCTCTTATCACTGTCTTTTAACTCTGAACATGCCCTGTAAATGTCTGAGAACTTTCCTGAACAATAGTTAGAGGCTGAAACTGAACTATAAAGACCTTTTCCAAAGAGATGAATGCAGGACTTGTAAATGTAGTTTAGCGGCAGAGTACTTACATAACATACACATATCCCTGGGTTCCATCCTCAGCACTTGAAAAATCAAATCAAAACACACAAAAAACAAAACTTCCAAGGTGTTGAATGCCAGGTTTGATTTAAGAGAGAATTTAAACTGCCAAATGGTGGCCTAGCACACCAGTCCCTTTTCTTGCTGTTCACTTCCCTCCCCAGTCCACACACTGAAACATGGATGAGCTGGCTATCCTGTGAATATGTAGGAAAAAAACATTCACTCCTCTCAGAAAGATATTTGGACTCCTGGTGAAAGGTCTTGGGGCAGTACTAGTGTAAATTCAGGGCCATAAGTATGTTCTATGTATTAGAGAAATCTAATGGGGTGATTATAAATTTACCAAATTAAAAAATGTAAACATTGTACTGCAAAGTATTGAAAGAATGCTGTAAAAGAGAAATAGTGACTAGGCTGCCTGGATGTAGGAGCTAAACACCAACACTGTGGCAATGGTAAGATTATTGATGTGATGTTAACAGGAAATGTGTTTAGGACAGAAGAAGAGCCAAGGAGGGGTGAGGACACTGGCAAATCTAGGGAATGGTGTTTTGTACCAGATTCAAACTCTGGCCAGTTCTGAGCATTTAGCACTGCCAGCACCACCACAGAATATTCTCACATTTTTTTCTTAACCAGTTCATTAGATAAAAAAAAAAATCTACTGTTTTTCTCAGAGTGACAGGGATAATGCTGAATTCACTTGTGTCCTCTGTTCCTGCTTTGCTTGCTCTTTGGTTAATTTAGCACTGTTCATGCCTCTGTGCCTGAAGTTACCCAGCCAGCAGGAAGTCCTACACCAGGCTCGGAGCCCCACATCAAGCTCCCCATTATCTAGAACATGGGTTATCCTATTTATACCCCATGATGGCAGTTGGCAAGTTCTATGTGCCAAATATGTAATCAAGTTATATAGGCCACAATATGTAATCCCCAAACTTCTTGCCATAATTCCAATATCTCAGGGTAACTCTAGCCTAGAACCTAAATTGGGCCATATTTGTAATAGCAAGGCAAACTGTCTGGTTTTGACTCCATCTACAAGGCAAGCACACTATCACTGTCACATTCCACAACAAAGTGCAAGAGTTCACTTGGGCTGCGCTATAGGAAGGGGAGCAGGAAGATCACAAGTTCAACCCCAGGCTGGGCAACTTAATGACTTAGTGGGATTCTGCCTTGAAATACGAAAAAAAGGGTGAAGGCCTTGGATTCAAACCCTGTAGTGGAAAATAATAAAAGAGTTCACTTGGTTTTTGAAGAATCTAGAGTCTTCTCAATGGCAATTTCCATGTTTTGAAGTGAAGGTTAAAAAAGAATGAGTAGAGTGGTGGAAGAGAAATAGGGGAGGAAGAGCAGGAAAAAATAATGAAAAGGCAACAAAGTTTTAAGTATTCATGTAATAAAATAATATTGGTACATGAATATACAATCCCATCTGTATAAATACAGTTTTATAAGATAATTGCAGAATTTATAGATACACAATAAATGGTGTGTTGTAGATAGTGTGGATGAAGAAAATTACAGGAATTAACTTAATGTTGTGTGATAGACATCTCCATCAGTACTGTTGGTGTTTTTCTGTATTTCTGTGGGTAGCCTCATTTGCAGATCATATTTGAAGTTCAGATTTAGTGGTCTATAAGTATGAGGCTAGGATCAAAGAAAGAGCTACCTTTTCTACTGCTTCTTCCTTCATCTGTGACAAAGCCTGGAGACATCACAATTTCCTCTCATCCAGTGTTTAGGTTCCTCTTGAGGTGAATCCTGTCACTATGGGTGATATCTGATTCCCAACTTTTGACAGAAACAGAAAGCTCATGGCACACAGAACCTTGACATTTAAGAAAATTATTGCCTCACCTCCCTCTGTGCTTCCCTTCACCACCCATAAGTTATCATTGCAGCTAGTTCAGTTTGGAATGTTTATATGTCCAGGACATGCAGGGTCTAGCAGATGGACTGGCCTTTGACTACAGAGGAACTGACATCCTAAGAATTTCTGTAGATTATGTGCTTCAAGTAAGTTTTAAGTTTCTCTCCCACATTCCCTTTTTTGTGGCACTGGGGATTGAACCCAGAGCTTTCACATTGAGCTACATTCCAAGCCCTATTTTTTTTGAGACCGGCTTTCATTAGGTTGCTAAATTACCCAGGTGAACTGGTACAAATGATCCTCCTGCTTCAGCCTTCCAGAGTGCTGGGATTACAGGCTTGTACTACATATCTGGCTGTATCTCATCTTGATTTTGTTAAGTTCTGACTTCACTGGAAGCTCCCTCATGCTTTTCAGCAAATTGTTTTTATTTTGCCTTCCTAATTGTTTTCAGCAAGACAATGAGTGCTTTGCAGGCTAATTCCATTTTGTCTAAAGGCAAAATATCTGAGGGAACTGATGAAAATAAATTTGTGGACAGTTGAGCATGGCGATTCACACCCATATCCCAGAACTCTAGGAGACTGAGGTAGAAAGACGGTAAATTTGAGCCCAGCCTGGGCAACTTAGGGAGACCCCCATCTCAAATTTTAAAAAGGAAAAAAAAAATAGCAAATGGAAGGCTGAGATGTAGCTCAACATGAAAGCTCTGGCTTAATCCCCAGTGCTTCCCCAAAACTAGTCAGAGATATGTACATGCAATGAAAATATTGGACTCCCATAACTCAAATGAATACATAAGTCAGTAAAAACCAGTTTGAACTAAAATAATGGGCTTGAAGCTCTATCTATTTTTTGTAGCTAGGCATAATCTCACACCCTTCCTGGGCACCTGTGACACCTGAGGACCCCTGATGGACCTCTACATGTCCACTAATGTAAGTGATGTAAAAGTCATTCACCACATTTTGAATGAAGAATACACGAAATAACCTATCAATTATTGGCAATTGTTTTAATTCTTTAACATTTCTTGACCATTGAGTTTAATTACTGTCTTTTCAGTTTTCCAGCTACTTCTATATTGTTTCCTTATATTTATATGGCGTTTCCTCCCAGTTTGTTTTTTGGTGTTCACAGCAAATGATACTGCAAAGTAAATGGGGCTAGTCCCAACCTATTACACAGTGTCATGATCCTTAGAAATCTTGAATACAGATGATTTGAGTGCAGATAAAATGTTGGTAAAATATAAATGGAAAATATAATTTAGTTCTTAATAATTATTTTAGCAAAGAAGAGAGTTTTTGCTTGTTTTCCTCCACAGTATTTAGAACATTTTATAAAGATTAGATTGTCCTATTCAATAGACCCCACATTTGCACCAGAGACTGTTGATTAGAATTCAATGGGTTAAATATGATGGTTTATGATCAACTATACCAGCTACCATAGGAAGTGTCTCCCATAGAACTGAATAAAATAAATATTAGCATTTTCACAATCCAGCTAACTCACTCCGCTGAGAGTGGGGCTGCCTCTGAGGGTGTGCTGAGCTAACAAAGGACACCTGTCGTACCTCATTTCCAAGCAAATTAAATAGAATTTTGGAGAAATGGAATGCAAATTACGGAAAATCTGTACCAAAATCATGTGGTTCAGGTGGAGGCGGAGTGGATGTAAATCGAGGACAAAATATGCATTGCTGCAATAAAAATAAAAGTTAATTTTCAAAATGAAATGCAAAACTAATTCATCTGTTTTGAGCTTCAAATCTTGTTTTATTTCTTCCATTGCTTGGCTGTTCAGTCACACTGCCTGCTCCTCCTTCTCCCCAACTCTACCAAACACTCTACGTAGCACTCTCTGCTGTCTGGTGCGGAGACCTGTAGTGGCTCCTATCAGGCCCCTCTCATCTTCTGGGCCTCCTTCAGTACCTTCTGCATTCAGCAGTCAAGGTGCACTATTTCTAAACCTGCCATTAGATCATGCAGTTTCTCTGCCTGAGACGATGCAGAGAAGTCCTGTCTTTCTCAGGTAAAGACAAAGATTTTAGAACCATGGTGGTTACATGGCCTGAATGATTTAGAATAAACTACATGTTTACTACACATTCCAGGCTCACTCCCCATTCCTTCCTCTCCCTGAAAGGGTCCATGCTGAAAACTTTAGCCAACTCTCGGGGGGCTGAGTTAGCTGGATTTTGGACATGAGGAGAAATTACTAAGATATATTTTATTTAGTTCTATTGGTCACACTTCCTGTGGTAGTTGACATTATTGATCATAAACCATCATATTCAATTCATTGAATTCTCCTAATCAACAGTTTCTGGTGCGAGTTCAGGGACTGTTCATTAGGAGAATCCAAACTTCATAAAATGTTACAAATACTGTAGAAGAAAACAAACATTTCAGGGCATCGACCACACATATTATCTTTCGCTTATTGAATATACCATGCTCCCCACTACCTTAGTTTATGCTCCTGCTGTCCCTTTCCTGGTGAACTCTATCTCCACCTTTCATTTCTAGTCATTGTTCAGCTTTCAGCCTGGATGTGCCCCTAAGTGGGATGAGTTCACTGTATTTTCCCCTCTCATGGCATTCTGTTTACCTCAGGACTGTACACAGAGACCTCTACAGCTATATGATGCTTGTCCTGCTACTTTACCAAATCCTTTAGGGAAGAGATCATGTCTAATTGATTCCTAGTCATACCCCAGCATCACCAGGTGCCTGCATATAGC